ATTAATAGAATCAGTGGGATTGTCTAAAATGTTCCCATAACTGGGATCTTGGCCTGGACTCCCAAGATGATTTGCAAGTGCAGACCCTGTCAATATGTTTCTGGAGAGTCTAATGAAAAAATGCAGAAATAAAAGGTAGAAATTGTGTTTCCTGCTTGGCTTAAATGAGGGAAAGTTTGAAGGGTACGAGTTGCTTTGTCCTTGGCCATGAGACAATCGTATCAGAGTGTTCTGTTTTGTTCTGGCTGGATAGTGTCTACTTATCAAAAGCAGGAAATTGCATTTTAACCTGGATCTGTAGGATGCCAGGGAGGGGTTGGTCTGGTTAGGAGGGTGGAAGTGGGAGGAGTAAGGCAGAGAACAGTCAGTACTAGACAGTCACCAGGCCTATAGCCATCAGGATGTGGGCAGGAATCGAAACTGTATTTTTTTTAAAAAGAGAGAAAAGACATGGGTGAAGACCTGTCTTGTCTAGATGTGTAGAGATTGAGGAGTTATTTTTCTGATCTGGAAGAAACTCCACTAGAGAGCTGGAGCCCTCTACCAGCTACATAACGTGAATGCTGATTCAGTTAAAGCCCTGAAGAGGAAATAAACAGCAAAGTCGTCTGATACCAGATTACAGGCATCATTGATATTGAGATAGGAATATCTACATGCCGTGAAAGAGCTTGGGGGGGAAATGAAGAGAAAGCATATTTTGTGAGCAGTCTTTTGTTTATGCTCAGTTTATAATGAATGTGGTAAGAGATTTGAGGACTAATTTTAGCTAATGAAAAGACAATGAGAGCTATTAGGGAATTTTAATATACAGGAATATGAAAGCCAAATCACATTTATTCACTCTTCTGTAAACAAAAGCAAATAAATACTAATTGGACATTTAGCAATTAAAATTTGATCTAATAGCATGCACAGAACTACTTGATTCTTACCTTTTAAGAAGGTGTTCGAAAAGCACGGGATTCACTCATTAAAAGATGTGTGTGCATGAGTGTGTATGCCTGAGTGCTTGTGTGTGTTCCAAAGAAATGGAAAAGGCAAAGATAATCTTCAAATATAAAACACTCAGCAAATAAACACACACACACACACACACACACACACACACACACAGGAGGAAATGTGGAATTTGTTTGAAAGCAAAACAGCATGAGAGTATTACTAAAATTACAACTAAAAGTCTAAGTTGGAAGTTGATCCTCTTTTATTCTTTTATCTTCCTATAGTAAGTCAGCTCACATTATAACTAACTTTCTGATATTATGTGGTAAATAGCCACTTAAAAGCACACAAACACTACTGTATTTTTTCACATCTCAGTTTCTTTGCTTCTTCTTGCCTTTGTACAGTAGTCTTTCAATAAGGAAACCTCCAGAGTGAGGTTTGTTTGTTTTTGTTTAATTTTACTGTAGTTGATACTCCATCCTCTGTAATAACATTAAAGGTTTGCAAATCAGAAAATAAACCAATTCAACTAAAGGTTTATCTTCATTTGGAAAGTCCTGTGTTTGAGAATGATGTACACAGACTTGGAAACAGATATTTGCTGGATAGACTTTCTATATTATAATTGATATAATCATAAAAGCTGAAGACATTTTAAAGGTAGAGCTACAAAAAAAAAAAGAGGGAGAAATTTTTAAAGAAGCAGCTTCGGTGTCATTTTTAAAAACCTGAATGCTTGTAAATTTATTTAATTAAAATGCTGAAGCAAAAGAGTCCATTTTGTATCACAATATTTACAAAAATGAGGCTGATTTTTTTTTTAAGAGTTTGTCATTGGAAGTGCCTAGGCTGTATTTACTTTTTATTTACTTACATCCCAGGCAGCTCTGGTTAAAACATAGTTAATCTACCAACTGCAATTAGCCAACTGTCCAAGGCTCAACTTCCAACCCACGACAAGCTTCATTTAACTGATTTGAGAAGTGGAAGTTTGGATGTTTCTTTTTTTTTTTTTTTCCCCCAGGAAGGTGGCTTGTTTCCTTATTTCCTGTCAAGAAAGCCAAGTTCTGTGACCTATGGTTAAAAGGGATCTTTGTAATTAAGACAGGGAGTCTCCAAGTGAACAGTTCTCACAGTAGGAGGAAAATTTAAAAAAAAAAAAAAAAGTGGAGATGACACCACTTAACGAGGTCATCTGAGCATGGGCCAATGCGGGTGCAGCCCGCCGGCCACCTCTGCTGCCATTGGTTCTGTGTCCATCTCATGGGGCGCAGAGTCTATTAAGACCTTGGCTAGTGGCCTATCGCAGGGCCGCGCTCCCTCCTCGCTGCCTGCGCAGAGACGACCAGAAACCGATCAACCGTGTCATATCAATAACATTCTCACACCAGGTTGTGTAAATTGATCTTTTACAATTTCTCCCGGTGACAGTCTCTGTAACCAACAAGATAAATCATTCCTCCCGTGGCTTTTTTATTGATTGCTGAGACCTGTATAAAAATTACACTGCTCAAGCTGTGAAGTGAACATCCTCATAAAAGAAGACTTTTTATTTACAATCAAAATATGTTGGGGTCCAAATCAAGTGCACCTATACTGCCTCAAAACTACAAAAACAGTGAAATTTAACAGACTCGGAGAAAACAAAAAAATTAGAAAGAAATGCACCCCCCCAGCCTAGCCCAGCAATCACAAATTTCAAGAATGGGCATAATATATATCTCAAATTGAGACCATTATTTTTTTAATCAGAAAATTTTTAGATATTTTATTTGAAGATTAACAGTTACCTCACCTTTATCACCATCTGATAAAGATGAGACAAAAGGGGGGGGGGCACAACTAAATTAAGTCTTTGCAATGGAGTTCAATAAAGCAATACAAATGGCCTCATGATTGTGATCTCAGTTCTTGTTACTATAGTAAGCATAAGAACCTAAAGTCCTTTTTCTTTGACACACAATCTTTGATATCTCAGACAAATCACATCTAGGGCAACACACCCCTCAGGAATGAAACCATGTATTTTAAAGAAATTTAATTTGCATTATTTAGTGATCCTAAAAATGTCTTTAGTTCTGCCTTAAAGAACAATTAAAATTTCTGGAGTGCTTAGAATTTGTTGAAATGTTGTCAAAATACAGACAATTGATATCTTTGAATGTATATTTTATGTAAATCACGTCTTGTAATACAATCTTTCATTTCTTTTCAGTCCTAACTTTCTAGTCTACTAAAAGGAATAAACCCATTTGCAATGCAAAAACAATGTTGGATGAAAAGTTTTTAAAGTGGGAAGTCTGCATTTTTACTTCTTAAACTTCTCAAAGTTTTCCTTCAGGTGCCCAATTGGGAATCTCCTACTTATAAATGTGGTTGCTCCCAGAGGCAGAGACACCACCTCCTCTCCAAAATCCATTTTTTTTTTCAAATTGCAAAAGAAAACTGTGATTTTTTTTTTTTTTTTTGCATCATGTCAAAAGAGGAGTTCATGACGTTGATAAAGAGAATCACCCTAAGTTATCACTGCCCGAAAAGCCACTTTCCATGCAGGTCCTGTAGGCGGGTGCTGTGTTTCAACTCAAAAAGCATTTCACAGACCTAAGAATCTGAGCATAGCCTTTTGTACACATCTAAGAGAGAGGACAGAGATAGTCCTTTTTGTCCATTCCCCCTTGAGCCTTTGCCCGGTTCCTCTGAAGCTGCCTCTTTATTTTGCAGGTTTAGAGAAGGCCCTTTCAATGGAACAGGCCGAAGAAGGAGGGGGAGGGAGAAGGGTTGTTTGGACCCAATGTCCTCACTGTGAGACCGTGATAGTGGGTTGGTGCTAAGATACTTTCATTGAGGGGAAAAAAAAAAAAAAGCAGCACTGAGCAAGCACACTGGGAGCAAAGAACTCGGGAAATGAAAACCTGCCCTGGCTCTGCCCTGGCTCAGAATGCAAGGTTAGGAAGGGGATGGCTGCACGCGGGGTGAGAGGTTACGGAAGCGGGAGGGGCGCCCCCCGGTCGGAGAGAGTATTTGCAAGTGCTGACCGCCGAGGACTGGTGCTCAGCTCGCCCCAGCGGCTTTGCCGCCTGGTCCACGTGGCCGGGTCCCCGCTCCCGGCGGGCGGAGTGCGGCGGGCGGTTGTGTCTGCACGATTCTTGCGCCGGGCACAGAGCCCCCCCTGCGCCGGGCTGGCCCGCGGGCGGCCTGGGGTTTGTGAATTCCTCTACCCAGCACGTTTCCTAGGGGTACCGACCGTCACCAGCAAAGCCCCGGCGCCAGCCACCGCGGGCCGCGAAGGGCGCGAGCTCTAGCTGGTTTGGGGCGTTTGGCGTTTCCACCCGCCTCCCCGCGTGGGCATGCCCGGCCCCCGCGCCCCTCTCGGAGGCACATCCTCTCCGTTTCTCCTCGCCTGCGGCCGCACATTGTCGGCGATTGTGGGAAAGGGCCGCCAGCCTTTCCGCCGCTCGGGGCCGCCCCTAATGAGGGAACAATCGGGCTACACGGAGCCGGCGGCGGGGTCGGCGCGGCGCCCGAGCCCCTGACAGCGCCATAAATTGGCGGTGCAAAGCCGAGCGCTTGGTGGTCCCCCCTGGAGAAAAGACCCGCCGCCGACAGCGCGAAAAGGCGAGTCCCGGAGCCAGTGGATCACCCTGTGGGGACTTGGCGGAGCAGAGGTCACGGGAGAGGGACAATAGCAGGGTCCGAGGGTGAATCCCAGGAGGCAAGCGGAGCCCGGCGCCCGGGTCGAGCAGAATGAATGGGGTGGGGGCCGACCTCGGGAGCCCAGAGCCCCCCACCCCCCAGTCCCGGGTCTCAGCCGGGGCCCCAGCCCTGCCCTGAAGAGAAAGGAAAGGTCCCAGCTTGTAAAAGAGAGGGCTGCTGCTCACAGTCAGAACTCTGGGTGTTGATTTTTTTTTTTTTTTTTTTT